GCGTGATGAGCAGCCGCCGCCGCCTCCGCCCCCTCCCGGCGGCGGCGGGGGGGGAGGGGGTGCCATGGTGGCGCCTCCGCCGCCGCCTCCGCCGGCGGCCGCTGCGCCGGTCAAGGCCAGCGTGGTACCGATGCCGGCTCCGCCGCGCGTGGAAGAGGTCGAGAAGGTCGAGCCCGTGCCCGACGTGGTCGTGGTGGCGGACGCGAAGCGTGTGGGCGAGGAGGCGGAGCTGTTTGTTGACGCCAAGGGCGAGGAAGAGGTAAGTTTTTGGCTGTTTGCTGGAGGAGGTCGTCTCTTGCCTGGAATTTGATCGGGGAAGATTTTAGCTAACCTTGTTTTACGCTTTTTTATGTTGTTGCGTGGTGGTACGGAACGGTGGTGTCGGTACTGTACGCGGATGGGTTTTTTGTGTGCGGGCGTGCAAATGGGGGGGTTGTAGAGCGAGTCCAAGACGAGCGAGAGGGTGGCGGCGGACGGGACGCCGGTGGTGCACGGGCAGTATGAGCAGAACAAGGAGGAGGAAGATGTGATGGTGAAGACGGAGTTTGTGTGGGCGGACGGGGCCGAGGGGGACGTGAAGCTGTCGGGGGCGTGGAACGGGTGGATGCCGGTGCAGATGTATCACGAAGGGGGTGGGATGTGGTCGGTGGTGACGCCCGTGCCGGCCGGGACGCATGAGTTCAAGTTTGTCGTGGATGGGAATTGGCGGCACTCGACAAGGCACCCCACGGTCGGAGAGGACGACCAGACGATGAATAACATCCGGGTGATTCGCGGGCCGCCCAAGGCGAAGCAGACCGAGGAGCGCCCCACGGCCGAGGACGAGGCGGCGGAGACGGAGGCGCCGCCAAAAAAGGGGTGTTGTGCGATCGCGTAAGAGAAGCGGGTGTGTGAGTGAAGGTTTTTTTTTTTTTTTTCAGATCGAGTAAAAGCAAGTGGTAAAAACGGAAAGAGATGAAATGTTGTTTGTTGAACAAAGTTAATCTGAATACGGTGTGTAAATGGGTTGGGCGGCACTCCTTTACCACGCTAAGCGTTGACGGTCGTAAGAGCGGGGTCGCAAAGAAAAAAAAAAAAAAAAAGACACCGGGGTCTAGGCTTGTTATCTCTTCGAAAAAAAGCCTCCGGTCTTCTTCTTCCTCGACGAGCTACTATCGATGCTGGCGGAGCTAGCCCTAGAGTCCCTTCTGGCCGGTCTGGAGGAGCTCTTCGAGCTAGCAGTGCCGTCTGCGGCGCCGAGGTCGGGCTCGGGGAGGACGTAGCGGACGTTGTTGAGGCTGGTCTCGTCGATGCCGATGGTGGGGTGGCGCTCGGAGTGCTTCCATTCGCCGTCGACGATGAACTTGAACTCGTGCGGGCCGGGCGGGACGGGGGTGACGACGGACCAGGTGCCGGCTCCCTCGTGGAACATCTGGATGGCCTTCCAGTCGTTCCAGTCGCCCGACAGCTGGACGTCGTCCTTTGCGCCGCCGTCCGCGAACACGAACTCGGTCTGGACGCCGTCGGAGGTGTGGGTCTTTCTGCGGGGGCGAAAGATGGGGCGGGGAGGGGAGGGGAGGGTTAG